CTGGATAATGGAATTCAAAACAGTTCAGTTTTCTCCCTCTGTGTTTGTTGGTGTTTTCAAATTTTTCTACAAGGATAAGTATTTCACTTTCACAGTGAGTCGGAGTAGTTTTAATTTACTGTTAAACTGATGCAAGAAGTTATATATAAAAGCAGATTTATTCTAATGAAATAAATTATTATACTTAATTTCTGTTGTCTTTTTTTGTCAGGAGCAATTGCTTTAGAATGTCATTCTATTTGTTCCAAAAAAAAAAAAAAAAAAAGCTAAAATATTCTGTTCATAGTATTTCTGTCCAATTTAATGAACAACTTAAGATACAAAGTTTTCCACCAAAAATGCTGAAGGTAAAAATAGTAATTAAAACAGCATACTATTCATTAAATACGTTCATGATGGGCCATGATTCATGTCTCACAGCCGGGTGGCTCTCATTTGAATTGAATGTTGAATTGGGTGGCTTGTACTGCTTCTCAGTGGGTCTTTGATTACAATAATGCAAAGAAAGGAACTGATCTAGCAGACTAGGTGTCATCCTTAGTAAAATATTAAAATGGTATAAAAAATTTTAACTAATTTGTGGTACAGTACAGCAGTTGCAACGGTGGTGTATTACACACAGTGGCAATAGGGTACTTGTAGGATTTCCATGTTAAAATTTAGATGGGCTGGGGATTTAGCTCAGTGGCTCTGCTGCCTGCCTTGCAAGCACAAGACCTGAGTTCAATCCCCAGATTGAACTTAGAGAATTTAGAGAATTAATTACTGATGGACTATTAACCAACAACGAAATGCCATGGGTGCAAATTACTGGAAAAAAATTTCACTCTATATAAGGTTACTTAGAAATGCATGTAAGCCATGTGGGGGATGTTACAGAAAAATATTTGCCAGGCATGGTGGCATATGCCTGTAATCCCAGCACTTGAAAGGCTGAAGCAGGAAAATCACCACGAGGTCGAGGCCAGCATGAACTACATAGGGAGAGACTGTCTCCAAAAAAAAAAAAAAAAAAAAAAAAAAAAGCAAAACTGGAAAAAATGGGCGAAACCATGGCCTCAAAAAAGCCAAACAAAATATGACATTTTGCACACTGTGCAAGATTCTGCCACTATTATGTATAAAATGTTTTAAAGAAATTCACAAATATAAATAAATTTAATGAAATAAATTGTTAGTAATTGTTAATTTTTAATCAGTGTGAACAGTATTAGTATTTATATTTGGACTATTCAAATTCAAGCAACTAGATTCATCAATTTATAGACATTAACTTTATTATTAAGAAGGATGATAAAATCGATTAGACTCATTTGTACCACCAATGGTACAAGTTGCCTGGTGAGACAGTCATACATGTACCACCAGTGGCTCAAGGAGTGGGACAGTGTCAAACCAGAACCATGCTTTCCAATTATTGGGCCCTGAACAATTAAATCGCTCAATGGCCAAAGGTGCCAAGTTAGTGCAAGGTGACCAAAGTGCCACACATTCTAAACTAAGACCCTCAACAACATGGGGGTGGTGGCACATGCCTGCAATACCAGTACTCTGGTTGGGGCCCGACTCTGGCTACTCTGCAACGTACCAAGATGTGTCTCAAAAATGTAGAAGAGTGCTGGGGACTGTCAACACCACGGTGCACTTAGACACACGCACTAAGTGTTACCCAGGCTACATGTCTGTGACTGAAATAAACCATTTTTCAGATCACAGAACAAAACATGCAACTCAGGGAATATGGTGTGGCAGTTAGTAACATGGGCTCTGGAATGAGAAGGTCCTGTTTCTTAGTCCTAGACATAATCAATGATTAGTTGTATGACCATGGCATCAGTCTCCTCATCTAAGGTCTCAGAGCACATGACAGGGTCACCACAAAAATTATATGAAACCACACCAGTGATAACAAGGAAGAAGACTCAAATGATGTTCTCTGTCAGGAGCAGTACCTGTGTCATACAGAGTGGAAGAAAAATAAATTGCTCAGAATACAACTATTGAGCTGTTAGTAGACCCTAGAGTCTACTTTCTAAATGTAATTAGTGAAAAATATACCACAACCCAGCTTAACCTTTTGATGGTACCTTCAAATAGAAATCTATGCCCTATTCAATTGGGAAAGGGTTAAAAATAAAAAAGACCACTATATTTAAGTTCATATCAAACAGTCTCACAGCTCTATTTTTTTTTCTTTTTTTAGTACTGGGAATTGAATTTGGGACCTTGCACTTGTGAGACAGGTGGGAGAACCACTAGGCTAAAACCCTGGTTCTCCCAGCTCTATTATGTTTTAAGGTATACATTTTTTGGGGGGGTACTGGGGATCAAACTCAGGACCTTGTGCTTGAGAGTAGGTGGTGGCACCACTGAGCTAAATCCCCGGCCCTCAAGGTATACTTTTAATTTATCTCCCAAATAACTTCATTGTGCCCCAGAAAGGCTTATGCATCAGGTTGTCCCTAAAACACAACAGAATGCCCCACTCAAGGAACCATATAAACTTATTTCTAGTGACTTAAAATCAAATGCAAGGGCTGGGAGATGTAGCGCAATGGTAAAGCACTTGCCTGTTATGCACCAATCCAAGGTTTGATCCCTGGCATGCAAAAACAAACACACACAGGAGGGGAAATGAAGAGGGGCAAGGACAAAGGGAAGGAGACCAAGTTATATGTCATTTCCCATGTGACGTTGGACATCCAACCCATCAATGTCCAAGCATCTGACAGGGACAGAAGGGACTGTTCTAGGCATTGCTCTTGATTTTCCCTCAGGCAATCACAGGCATTTACAGGTGAGGGTTTTCCTCAGCCCACTCCCACTACCACGGGATATGACAGGAGGCTCAACCACCATCACAGGAACCCAATGCCACCCACAGGGGGAACACAAGATCCCTCAAGTCACAAATGAAAGCAACTTAAGAGGAGAAGCTACAGCTCTGCTTTTTAAACTACTTGGTTTCTGAAAAAATCTCGCCACTTACAGAATGAAATCTATTCTGAAAACCTCACTGTTCTAATAACTTTTTAGACACGGCTAAACTGAGCTTCATACAAGGAATTTGTGAAGGCTTTACAACCAGTTCTAAGATCCGCCCCAGGAAGTTTGCAGCAGCCAAAAGCTCCATGCATCCATCTCTGCTCCCTCAACTCTAATAACATCAGTAACCACCATTTGGGAAAGTGGGAACTTTTGTTAGTCTCTTAAATCCCTCTACTCATTTCCAGGTTTGCACTGAGAAAAGAAAAAGGGAAATGATAACTTCTCCATTTATTTCAACCTCTCCCTTCTGTTACATAGAAAGGTGTTCTAGTCAGGGATTTAGCTCAGTGGTGTCACACAGTCCTGAGTTCGATCCCCAGTACCAAACCAACCAAACACACAAAGCAACAGTGTTCTAGTCCTTGAGAAAAATATGCCTGCTAAAACACCAAATCAGGTTCTCCAAAACATGGCACATACAAGAGATTCTTTCAGTTGGTATGGGGATGAACTTTGAAGTAAGTTCTTTATTTATTTATGGTTTGTTGTTGTTGTTGTTTTGAGACAAGGTCTCACTATGCAGTTCAGGCTGGCCTTGAACTAAGTATGTAGTCCAGAATGGCCTCAAATTCAGAGCAATCCTCCTGTCTCAGCCTCCCAAACCCTGGGGACTACAAGCGTGCGCTATCACACCCAGCAACTTCTTAAAGACCCGTGATATAAGGAAATACACAGTACTGCTCAGAAGTACATGGAAACTCCCTTCCAAGTGTAAAAAATGGTTAACAGAATGTACATTAACATTCTCAAAGTCTTCTATTTTAAGTTACAAGATCTGTTTTAAATGAACTATTTAGGTTTTGGAAAGCTGGCATTTTAGTTGCTTTTTTTGCCCTCACTAATATTTACGGTTTTTAATTTTTTATTGATATCTTTGATATTAAACAAGAAATGGCTTACCATTCATGGTAATGACATGATAATGAACATGCACATATCACATAAAATGTCACTTCATCAGATATAGCAAAAATTACAAGTAATAAGCAAAGTAATGAAATCTGAGAAACATTTTATAAACCTCAAGAAAAAAACATTCGTATAACCTTCAGTTTTTGCTAAGGTTATTTCTTAACCTGAAAATTATGAATACATACATACATCATGCATTCATGTGAATGGGAGACATGTTTGGTTTAATCATTTCTAATTCATCCAGACTTTCCACGGCTAAGATATCTCTTGCTCTCTCTCCAGCCACTACAGTGCAGTGACTAAGGTACATAGTGAGTCACCTGCAAATAATTGCTACATTGAGCCCCTCTGGCAGTTGTAGGGTGGGGGAGGGCCTTCCCATATTTAGTAACCTTTTACTAAGAAGATTCTCACAGGTCCCAATAGATTGTTACAAGTAGTATTTCCAGGACAAAACAACAATGCCAGCAATGCACCAAAAAAACTGACTTCTGTACATGGGCACCTATTAACTTGTAGGATTAAGAACACATTTATCACTTTTTTGCCTTGATGGTACTGGGTATTCACTGTAAATACACAGCTATTTATTATTCATTCATTCAACACAATGTTATAGAGTATGGCAACACTAGGCAATCTTTCAGCACAAGATAGCACCCTTTTTTTTGTAACTGTGGACTGAAACCAGGACAGCTGCAGTGCAATGGGGCTGCACAACCTCGCCATGGACAGTCGAAGGAGAGGTTCGTTGTGTACCTACCATCCTTGCCATCACTGCGGTTTCTTGTCACCAGATCAGCTCACACTGAGCTGAGAGAAGAATTACTACTCAAAGACTTTTACAGCTGAAGGGTAGAGCTAGTATACTTCACTCAAATTGAGGGAAGGACAGGGAAGACGAAGTAATCAATGTTTCTACAGGACATTAGCCATGGTGAGCTAAGAACCCCCTCATGGAAGAAGTCCTTCCATGTACTAAGCAAGCAGCAAAGGGTCACAACATGCTATCTAAAAACAGGCTTGGAATGGCTTACTTGTGGGATGTTCTCTTCTTCATCATGTTTGCAGACACTCCAGCATGGCCTACAAGATAAGTGAGGTGCAGTCAATGAAAAGTGGGTAAAAATACTTTAGAACTCAACTTCTGAATAACTGCTTACACAAGTCCTAAAAATGTGATCAACAGCTAACATGTCAGAAAAACATTCGCTTAACTTTTAGCAAGGAAGTATTCTAGGCAGACATGACAAAAGCCACAGTTCTCTACTCCCAGATCACCCCTTAAAATACAAAACCAGAGTCATGTGGACAAAACTGCAACTATAAGGGACAATCCTAGCCAGCAAGTAAGTAATAAGTAGTATAGAACTATGCTCTTGTAATAAACAACTACAGGACAGGAAAAAATATATAAAACATCAGTGGGCAACAGGCAGTGAAGGTCTACTGAATCTGAGAGCTGATAAGCAAATGAGTCTCTTACTGACCCCGAGTTCATTCCTGAGTGCAATTATTAGATGGTGTACATAAAGGGGGAACCAGAAAGAACACTGTGGCTTTGCCAAGTGGCAAGTCAGAATGGAGTTAGGGAAGAATGGTAGATGGGAATGTAGAACCAAGGGCAGGAAAGGAGGAGGCTGGCCACTCTGAAGAGGACCTCCAAAAATATGCATGGAAGGTGGAGGCTTCTGTTTTGGGCTACATACAAATTTACACATAATTCTGATAAGGAACTAAAGGGTAAAGTTGTCTTGAATATCTGAAATAATCAGTAAAGAACTACAACAAAAAATTTGGTGTTACCATCCTAGGAATTTGTAGCAGCCCTACAATATAGGCTTTTATAAATTCATCCCCAGTAGCCACTTGCCAAAATAAAATTCAACATTCTTTAAGATATGACCCAGTGTTCAATAATACAACACTTCAAATGACCAACATTTTGCCAAAAATTACTAGTCATGCAAGGGCTCAGCGGTAAAGCACTTTCCTAGCATGCACAAAATCCTGCATTTGACCTGAAGTTCCACAATAAATAAATAAAGTTTAAAGAAAAATACTTTTGAACTGGGCGTGGTAGCACATGCCTGTAATCCCAGCACTCTAGAGGCTGAGGCAGGAGGAATGCTCTGAGTTTGAGGCCAGCCCGGGCTACATAGTGAGTCCAGGACCAGCCTGAACTACAAAGGGAGATCCTGCCTTAAAAAACCAAAAACAACAACAAAAAAGAAAAATACTTTATCTCCCCCGCCTCTTTACCAGCAATGAACTCCGGACCTTGTGCTTGCCAAGCAGGCTCTGTGCCACTGAACTAAATGCCCAGCCCAAGAAAAATCCTCTTAAAACAGAAAAATCAAAGTAGTACAGATGGAGATTTTGTGTCAGAATGCTTGTCTAGCACGCTTGAGGCCGAGTTCAATCCATAGTACTGACCACAAAAAAGAGAAGAAAAAAGGAAAACCAGAAAAATGTAAAGCGTGATAAAAAACCCAACCAATGAAAGAAGTATCACTGAATGTGATTAATAGCACAATTAATAAAGCAGATAACATGGTCAATGAACTTGAAACAGTAGTACAAACTAAAATAATGCGTTCGCACACACATTGGGGGTCAGAGAACTCAGAAATGTGTATGATAATACCATGGGGCTAACACTGGAATCCCCACTCTGAGAGAGGATAGAGGAATAAGGGGGCAAATGCATAAAATTTTCTGGTTGTGACTAAAAGCAGTTCCAGGGCTAATAAATTCAATAAGTGCAAAGTAAGATTAAAGAAATCACATCAAAGCACTTCCTAACCAAATTTCTGAGAATCATTAATAAGGCATTTTCTCTGTCTTTTTGTAACAGGGTCTCCTAAGACTGTCCTTGAACTCACTATGTAGCTGACCTTGAACTTGCAGCAATCCTCCTGCCTCCACCTCCAGAGTACTGGGATTATAAGTACACACCACCATGCTGGCAATTAAAAAATGTATTTTATGTATGTATGTATGTATGTATGTATGTATGTATGTATTTATTGGTACTGGGGATTGAACTTGGGTCCATGCACTTGCAAGGCAGGCTGCAGAACCGCTGAGCTAAATCCCCAGCCCTAAAAAATGTATTTTAAATCAAGCCAAATAAGTCAGACACAGTCATATGTACCTAACTATAATCCCAGAACTTGGGAGGCTGAGTCAGGATAACTGTAAATTGTGCTCCGCCTGGTAATTCTGCCTGGGCAACTAGCAACTAAATGAAACCTTGTGCACATGCCTGTAATCCCAACACTCAGAAGGCTGAGGCATGAGGATCTCTGTGATTTGAGGCCAGCCAGGGCTACAGAGTGAGTTCAAGGCCAGCCTGAACAACACAGAAAGAACCTGTCTCAAAAAACTAAAAGGCTGGAGTGTAGCTCAGAGTGCAGCTCACTTGGAACCCCAGTTATGCCATAAAACAAAAACAAACGAAGGGATGTTGCAAAATGAGCAAGTCAGTTTACCTATGGACTTACAGGACTAAATTTAGCAAAAGTATTTACTAGTCCCAGCAGAATGACAATTATTAAATGAAAATAGTTTGACTGTACTAATTAAACTAGAAAAAGGAAGAAACAATTATTAATAGATAAATTAACCTCAGGACAAACAATATTACCACAGTTCAAAAAGGACAAATGATAAAAAGGGTAATTAATCAAGAAGCACAATAACCTTATAAATAAACCAAATTACAGAGTACTAAAAATAACAAAGCAAACTGACAGAAAGTCATATGCGTAATTATATTTAATTATACAACTCTCTCTCAGAAACGGATATAACGTGTGAAGAAAAAAAATCGAAAGATATATAGAAGAGCTGAGTATCACCAACAGCTGCCTTGAGAACAATGCCAAAATACACATTTTTCCTAGTTCATATGGGAAACATTCACCCAGATACAAACACCATTTGATGATTCACAATATAAGCCTTAGTACACCTAAAACAATTTGAAGTAAGACAAAATATATTCTCTTACCATGTCAGAATTAATCTAGAAATAAGCAATAAAAAACTAGGGCCAGGGATTTAGCTCCTGAGTTTAATCCCTGGTAACCCCCCACCCCCCCAAAAAAGTAGTGACTGTCTCCTTAAAACTCAAGGTTCAAAGACCAAAAAAAAAAAAAAATCAAAGAAAATTTCAAATAGTCTGAACAGAATAAAAATGAAAACACAATGGTATCAAAATTTAGGGATGCAACGTACTTAACTATATTTGTTGGAAATACACATTTAAATGATCAAAATATATATAAGGAAAACAGGGCTTTGTGCCAAGAAGTTCCAACACAGAAGTTTCCTATCCTGGGACTTACCAACTGTACATCTTTAGAACACAAAGTTCTGTCACAAATGTACATTTACAATTTCTCAAAGCCAAGTAAATAGGGGCCTGTGCAACCACCAATTGGTCTAGAAAGCCAGATCACAGAGAAAGAAGATGGAAAAGGAGATCTGACTGCCAAGAGAGCCATCCTATCCCACACCACCAACATAAGCCATGCACTGGGAAGAGGTGCAAGGACAGTTAACTGCTGAAGGAGGAAGCAAGTCATAGCCCCAAATGGTTATGGCAAGACGCGCAGCCCGGAAGCAGGAGCAACTCTCCTGGAAGCTTCCCTAGGATGTATCGGACCTCAGAGCAGACAGGAAGAATGTGGTGAAGAATTAACTTGAAAAATCTACTAGACTGTCCCAGACATTATCCCATCTCCCTCCCCTCCAAGGCACCCAGCTCAACACTCAGGACCCCACACCGGCACACTGGGCTTAGGGAGAAGATGCCTCAGGGCTAACAGCCTGGTCATTGTCTCTGTGTTTTAAAGCAAAACTCTCCAAGCCCTCTGCACACCACCACCATGCATCCCACACAGACGACTTTCTCATTTAGAAGCAATCTTCTTGTCACTGAAAAAAAGGTAAATCATTTCCAATCAAGTAAGCTTTTCATCATAAATATGACCAAAGATGAGCAATCACAAAGTATGACTGGGAGCCGGGCACAGAGGGGCATGCCTGAACTGCATAGTGAGACCCTGGTTTTTTTTCCCCCTAAAGTATGACTGAGGAAGACAAAAATGAGCAGCACCACTGCCTCCCCATTAAAATGATTACAAATTATAGAACTGGGATCCTCAAGGAATCTGAAGATGCCATCATCACAAAATACAAGCAAGAGCCCATGAAAAGAAAAAACACAGCTCTTGAAAACTAAAAACTAAATAGGAAGAACAGGTGGTTCCTGTGTAGCTCAGGCTGGCCTTGAACTTGTAGCAATCCTCCTGCTTCAGCCTCACTAGTACTGAGATCATAGGTGTGTGCCACCACACCCAGGTGGTTTCCAGTTAGTGTACAAGGAGCTTGGAAGTAACCCATCTGTATTAACAACAAACAAAAAGGTGAACAAACTAAACAAAAACAACTCTTCTTGGGTTGGTCAGAATATAAAAAAATCAGAGGACAAAGTGCTGCCTCCAAAATTAGAGAGAAAGGCAAATACAGAGGGCCACACTTTAAGCAGATTCCTAAGCCCTGGACATAAAACTTGGGAAAGTGGGCGTTATGATTTGTGTGGAACTCTGTTTCTCAGAGGTAGCTATATCTGGGATGTGTGATGCTGGGGTTAAGGGCGTGTGATTACTTAACCCCCAGAGGCGAGTGGCTGGTTTAGTACCACTCTGATCCCCAGTGGTCTGGATGGGATAAAAGAGGTAGACACAGCAACAGCCCCATGCTACCTTTGCTACCTTGTACATGCCACGCTGTTACTGCTATGCCATGCCTGTCTGCCATCCCTGCCTTGGAGTCCATTGATATGAACTGAAACTACTAAGATTTGTAAGCCAAATAAATCTATTCCCTTCTAACTTTGGTATTGGGTGTTTTGTCTCGGCAACAAGAAAAGTAACTAACATAGTGGGGGTCCTTCAAAGACTATTCCTCATACCCAAAGATCTGTAACCAAGCATGTCCCTACTGAATCCCCAGCAATCCCAACCACAATTTACGGTTTTCTAAACTGGCACTGGTTCCCGTGGAGAATTCAGAGG